ATACTGACATAAATGAACATTTGCACGATATTCTGATTTTTTGAGTTTCACCTGTAGATATACCTGCCAGAAGCTACACTCCAAAAAAGGGTAGAGGCAGGACAAGAAAAAGTCCCATTAGTTCAGTTAATAACTACTGATTACAATTAATTGTTTGTAAAATAAGGTTCTCCCTTTACAAAATGAATTGATCCCCACCAGGACAGGAAGGCCTGGCGCAATATGGTTCATGGGGTCACGAAGAGTCGGACACGACTTAACGACTGAACAACAACAACAAATATGTACCAACCATTCTCTCTCTCAGATGCAAACCACTCTGACACACAGAAATATACCGATATTTCCCTCCCTTCTTCCAGCAGAAACAGCTAAAAAGAAAGGGGGAAAAACGGAGGGAGATAGAATTTTAAAAAAGGCTAGCTGCAATGGTGAGGAGAGAAGGGGAAAATAGATGGAGATGAGAGTAGCAGAAGGGAGGGAAGGAAACAAATACTTGTATGTCTTTAAAAAAAACTCAATTCATAAGTAAACAGCCTCTCCCAAGCAGCAGCTAATCTTTGAAGTTATCCAAGATTTGCAGCAGTGTCTTTACAGCCACTTGCGTCATGCAGAGTCCTTGTTTTCAAGAGCTTATCAGTGAATGTACAGTGTTAGTATTTCATATCCCTTTTTTTGCTACAATGCTACATGATTTGAAATACAGATATAGTTTAATTCACTCTGATTCTTCATATTAATTGCTTTTCACACAGGAAGTCATATTTGATGGCCAGTGTTTTTATTCCATACTACTGTAACAGTTTCTTGCATTATTAAGGCAGATGTTCTCTTCCCAATTTGGAGTAAATCCATTACAGACATAATAGTAATTTTTATTTGCATTAAACTATATGGTAACAGCACCCTTTTTTATTTATTTTTATTTTTTTGCCACTGCAATGTAGATAATATTTTTAAGCTTTCTTTTCTGACAAACTATGCTTGAGTGTACTGACATCAACAATTCTTGGTCGTGAAACCTTAATGAGGTCAGATGTTGTTGTGTGTGGAAATTGATAGTGTCCAGATACTGGAATGCGAGGTTTCTCCGGAATTTTTAATCTTCCCATTATGTGTGTGGTCATCGGCATTAAAAACAGAGAATCCTTTGGACGAAACTTTGCTTTGTATACTTTAACACCAGTACCTCGAAATTTTTCTGGAAAATGAAAACACTGCTTTTACTACCATCAATATTATCTGCACAATATTTCAGATTGTTCAGGCACATAAAGCTGCAGCATGAGTTTGACTACTTGTGGGCTGGATCCTTATTCCACCTGACTCATTTGAACAGCTAGAGGTGGGGTGACTGGAGCTGCACTGCACTGGAGAATGGTCCCTGCCACCTTGAAAAAGGTGGTGGTGGATGCCCTCCTGATAAGGCCATCTTTTAATCCAGCCATGCTACCCATTTATTGTCTCGCCTCCAACCTTCCCTTTTGGGGGGGAAGTATGTGGAGAAGATAGTTGGTTTGCAGTTGCAGAGGGCCCTCAGGGAAGCCGATTATCAGACCCAGATATGAAATAGAAGCAGCGTTGGTCACTCTTGTGGAGGGAACCTGGATATGGGAGTGCAAGCCTCCTGATTGTTTTAGATCTGTTTTTCAAACTTGGCAACTTTAAGATGTGTGGGTTTCAACTCCTAGAATTCCCCAACCAGCATGGGAATTGTAGTCCACACATCTTAAAGTTGCCAAGGTTGAGAAACACTGTTTTAGATCTTCCAATAGCGTACAGTACCATCAATTGCAGCATCCTTCTGGATTGCCTATGATAATTGGGAGTTAAGGTATAGTGGTTCTGCTCCTTCCTAAGTGTGCAGTTCAGTCATTGTTAATGGGGAAGAAATGCTTAGGCTTGAGGTCACTCCAATCTGGGGTGCCATGGGGCTCAGTGCTCTCTACCCATTGTTTAACATCTGTAGGAAGCCACTGATGGGAGAAGTCATCAATCAGTTTGGGATGAGGTGTCATCGATTTGCGGATGTTACCCAGCTATGCATTTCCACCTGGATTGAACAAGAGATGCTGTAGATGCTCTGATCTGGTATATGCAGGCTATAAGGATTTGGAAAGGAAGAAATGGACTGAAATGTAATCCCAGCAACATCTGTGACTGTCCAAAATTCTACACATTTTCTGATCACTTCTAGCTCTGAATACAGTTGTACTCCCCTAGAAAGAGCAGGTCCCTGACTTGTGGGTCCTCCAGAACTCAGCTCCTCCTAGGATAGCAGGTGGAATCTGTGATTGGGTGGAGGGTAGCTTTCCCCAAATTTGACTACTAGATCAGTTGGAGTAGTTTCTGGAGCAGGGGGCCTTAGCAGTGGTCACCCAACCCTTATTATTTTGAAATTGAACTGTTGCAATGTGTTTTACATAGGGCTATCCTTGAAGATTACTTGGAAACTTCAAGTGGGACAAAATGTGGTAGCGTCAACCCTTCAAGGTTGTCCATCAGGAAACAGACTCCACAAGAAGACTCCAACTAAACTATAAAGAGAGAGGTTTTTTAAATAGAATCTCAGAAGTTTTTTTCCTTCCCTCTCTCTTACACCCCAGTGAGTCAGGGAGGGGCCAGTCTGAGTCTCTTCCTAATAATACCTCCTTTCCCAGCACTTAAGAACTGCTTCTGCCCTTTTCTCTTTTTTTGTAATGGTTTCTGAATACTTCCCTGAAGGATAGGCAACCCATAAATTAGCAAATAAGAGCCACGTTAGTAGTGTAAAACCAATACTGCAGGTGCTATGTTGGACTCTGATTAGTTTTGGAGTGCAATTCATAGTGCTACTTATTGACTGTAAAGCCTTGAACTTGGGTCCAGGTTACCCGTGGGAGCACCAACTCCAGAAAGAAGGAAGTTACCCTATTCAGATCAGCATATGAGGGGTTGTTTCCCTCTCCTTGGCAAATTAAGGTGGGTTTGGCCCAGGAGCAGGTCTTTTCTTCAGCTGCTCCATCACTGCAATTTACTGCCCTGGGAGATCAGTAACGTTCTAATGTTTCTTCACTTACAAAGCAACTATCTGGCTTTCTAAGAGCATTTGGAGATTTAAAAAAAATGTGCAGGATTGGTTTTAAATCTTTATTTATCTAATGTTATTTTCAAGCTTTTGTTACTATATTATGGATTGAATATTATTGTCAGATTTTTATTCAGTTCTGTTAAAAGAATTACAGTAAAGAGAATGAAAAAGCAACATGCACATAAATGTGTTGAGTTATTTAGGAACCTGGAACTGAATAGTAAATGATTATGTCTTTGTTGTACATAATTAATACATTTAAACCAAATTATTGTCAGGGTTGATGTTTTTATAATCTGATATAAATCTTTGGAGCAGAACAGAATACAAGTGTTAGCAAATAAATAACATATCTTAGGTTTTAAGCTAGAATATGAAAAAATACTCTGTTTCAGTGATACAGAAGTTATTAAGGGCAGTGTCTGGATTTCAAGGTGACATGAAAACCATTTCTGTTTGTTTGCCTTTTGAACTGCACACTAGGTAGGAGGAGCACCTGCCCACAGG